CAGCCGTAGAAGGTGTTGAAAAAAATTGGGGGACATCCATCTCTGGTTAGTGCTGAATATTATTTCTGATATCTTTGTTTTTTCCCTACATGCTTTGTCTGATTATATTGTGTACGACACAGGCCCCAATACATTCATTGAGACACTCAGAGAACGAATGTTTAGACCCTCCCTGTCCACAATCATATCTGAGAATTCAAAGTAGGTAATATCTCCTTTTGCTTTTTTGATTGAATATTATCTTCATTTATCGGACTATTATGTATTGAAAGCTTAAGCTTCTTCTAATAGATGTTGGCATTTTTCAGATTGGTAACAGTTTCACCAACAGATACAGTCTTAGAAGCAGCAAAAAAGATGCTTGAATCCCGATTAAACTCAGCAGTTGTGACCGTAGAAAATAAACCAAGGGGAATTCTAACGTGAGTTGGTTTTGGTTTAAACTCTTTCTTTTCCAAGAAATAGAAAGGAAGTGACTTTTACAGACTCATGCTTCAGTTCGAATGAAGAGTTATTGCGTAACATTTCCAACGCAGTGACGATTCTTATGGGAATAAATTTTGTGTTTCTTTCAGTTCAAAAGATATATTGATGCGAGTAATAGCTCAAAGTCTTCCTCCAGATTCAACTCCTGTGGAGAAGGTATTTGTTTTGTTGAGATGGGAGAGTGCATTCTCAAACGATTTGACTAATTAAGTTTGTATCTGTTTGAGACCTTTTCTCTATGATGTAGCTTGGAAAAATGTAATAATTTAATCATTTACAGAGAAGAGCTCAAATTGATATGTGTTGGGACTCATATGTGCTTAATTGCTGTTATTATAATACCTTTTTGATTGCAGGTCATGACTCCAAATCCAGAATGCGCAACGGTTGACACTCCTATTGTTGATGCTTTACACACCATGCACGACGGAAAATTTTTACACCTTCCAGTGGTAGATAGAGGTGAGTGACATTGAATTAGGAGTCAGCAGTTGCTTGTTGGTTTAGGTGGATACTTCATAATTTCTAATTAAATGATTGATTGGAACAGATGGAAAAATTGTCGCCGTGGTGGATGTCATTCACATAACTCATGCTGCTGTTGCCACTGTGAGTTGAATTTCTAGCTAGGGTGTTCACTTCTTGCCTTTTGCATCAAGCCTTGCGTGGGATAGATGCATAATGACTCTTTCTTCCGTTATGATTTTCGAAAAGCAAGTACCTTTTTATAGGTTGTCAAGTTTGTTTGTAATACTTTTAACTTTCATTGAGAAGTAGAACAGCTCGAGATTTCATGTTTTTTATGGCTTTAGTATACTTCTTGATATTGCAAGGGGTTTGCAGTGCACTTGGTAATCAGATTGCAGTATGCCATATTGCTTTTATCTACTGCAACTTCTTGGCTTTAGGATTCTCTTTCCGTGGGTTGCTATTCTATAGAACTTCATGGATTAGAATTTGTACTCCCTGATTCTAACTAAGCATCATGTACAGTGTTGGGGCATTTCATTGGTCATTTGTTTTGTGTTGGAATCAGACTGAAGAATCTTGAGAAGATGGCCCCTTCTCTTTGATGTGTCCTTTTTCTCTTACTAAGATCTTTCATGAGGCTTATTCCACGTTCTGTTTACTACGTACTAGTCTTTCAAGTTTTAAAGCTTTTGTCTTCTTGACTAGGTTGGAAGCTCTACTGGAATCAATAATGAGGCTGCAAGCTCAATGATGCAGAGGTTTTGGGATACTGCTATGGCTACTAGTCCAACAGATGATGATGAAGAAACCAGAAGGTAATATGATATGCCCAATTTTTTTGACGAGATTCTTTTTCATGGAGGAATTTCTATGGCCTGCTTTTGCAACTATTGTTTACTTACCCCACCAAGCGACATCTCAGTGAAGGTTCCATGAAGTTAACTTCAGATGGAGGAGATGCTGGGAGATCATTATCCTATTCATCAAGCCAACCAAATTCATTTGCCTTTAAGATTGAAGATAAGAAGGGGCGGATGCATAGATTTTCTTGTGGTAAATACTTCTTTTTTGCTTATGAACTTAGCTTTCATAGGAAATTACTGCAATTTTGTCGTTCTTTTTCCCTAATGTGCTGTGTTTGCCATCAAGCCATATGATGGTGCGTCCTATTGGTTTAGACAAAGTACTCTCCCTGAAATTTTAACCATTATGAATTATTTTGAAGTGATAATCCTGGTCTGCAATGGGAGAATCCCTGATGACATTGTGCTGCCTGATTTTTTTCTTCACTAAAAAATTTAGTACAGCATATTTATGTCGTTTTAACAGAAATGCTTTTCATGGTTGTTTTAAGTAATGCTCTTAAGTTCAGATACCACTAGTTGCTATTGCAGACTTTTATGAAATTGTGAGAACCAACTTTTGGGAGTCTTTATACAATTGAGAGATTCAAGAGGATGCATTCTTCCAGGATTTACTAATTTCATCAGTGATGAACGTTCTGATGCGGAACTTTTCTCCCAACATTAAGGCATAGTGCCGTGTTCAATTGACTTTTCCCTTTGTTTCATGTTGTTGTTTGATACCAGATACTCAAAGCATGACAGATGTTATAACATCAATTGTCCAAAGAGTAGGTGATGACATCAACAGAAATAATCTCCCTCAGATTCTGGTATGTCCAGTGTCACAATTTTGTGGATTTCCATGTCATCTCTGCCCATAATTTCTGTGTCTTTTTTTACTAATTCATTGCCCATTGGCAGTATGAAGATGAAGACCATGATAAGGTCGTCCTTGCATCAGACGGTGATCTCACGGCTGCAGTTGACCATGCAAGGTCAGCTGGTTGGAAGGTCAGCTGCTTTGTATATCAGTTCCTCTTTTACTCTAAAAAATTATAGATCAACCATTTATTCTGGAGCACAAGAACTCACTGCGAACTGTCTTCACTCATTAATGGCAATCCTCTGTCTGTCTGTCTGTCTCTCTCAATCATTGATCGGCCATTAATTCCTGGCATCTTTTGGTGGAACACTTATTGCAATTTGATCATATGATCAATAAAATTGGCGCTGCATAAAGTTTGATCGTTTTTTCTGACTTCTTGTAGGGTTTAAGATTGCATCTAGATTATTCCGGAACAGCCAAGGGAAGTAGAGGAGCGACTGGTGGTGACATGGCTTACGCCCAAGCAGATGCTTGGGCTTCTGCATACAGTGCTGTTGCAGCCGGGGCTGCTCTTGTTGCTGGGTTGGGAGTGTTGGCATACTTGAAAAGAGCTGGTAACTAAATTTCCATATCGATTACCAATTGCAAGGAACCTGCTGAAGTGACAAACGAAAGACGAAATCCTAACATTAATGCTTGGCGGTATACTGCTCTTAATCATATATACTCCGGGGACTGGACGCAGAAGGGGAAGAAAAGTTCTTGGCACTTGCTGCCGCTGTAAGGTTGTGCTATGACACATTTGTTTTCCCAGGTGTTGCGGTTCCTGAACTACAGGAATATTTTTGGCTGGTCGATGTTTTGTGTCACTCGAAATAAAATCGAGACTTGTTGGTTCGAAAAACGAATATTAATTGATTTTTTTGTTTCTTGGGTTTAGGCAGTATTGTATGTGATGTGGTGGGTAACTGCTACGGGACTATATAACCAATCTTTGCATTGTTTGCAATCACTTTGACTATACTCTGCAAGAATTTTGGCAACATTGGTTACTAAACACTGCTTTGTCTATCTTCTGTGTCTAGTCTTTCTTTTTTTGCCTTTGTTTATATCCACAGATCAAGACACATGGTCATCGCGAGATGGGTTTACAGAGCCGGGCACCGCCTTGCACGGTCATTAGTTCTCGTGGTTCGTCGAATATAAGTGACGCAAATAAAGAAGAAAGGATATGAACTCGTTGGCATTCCAACTTTTCCCCCCCACTTTTACATAGGTTAAAACTCGCCATCTACATCTAAACATCCCAACCTTGACCCCATCCCATCCCGCCCCACCCGGCCCTGCCGGTGGTGTGGCCTGGACAGTTGAGGAATTGGCTCGTTCTGGTTTCACGTTGTCGGGTGCGCGGACCCCCACAAATTGCTCGGCCCCGATTTTTAAGTGCGTAAATATTGGTACCGTCACTCTCTTTTTGTGTGGTTTTCGGCTTCTCTTTTCTCTTTCGTTTTTCTCCTTTTCCCACTCTAGCGTAGGCGCTTTTCATAGGGGCTTTCCCGTTCACACCATTCGTCTGCAGAGGACAGAGACAGAAGCTGTCTCCTACGACCTTCTTACCTTGAAATAGGGTTCAGAGACCGACACGGAATTCCCCTCTAAAAAATCGAGTGTGTTCTTGTCATCAACATCATTATACCTACTCGGATCTGACAAATATGGAGTCCGTTTAAAATGTTGGGGCATCTATAACTATAGTAGTTTTGCTAGGAAACTGGCAATAATGTCGAGATCCATACCGGCCACACGCATTTCCATTCGGGTGACTACTAAAGATGAACCATAATAAGATGGAAGGTTGAATTCTGTCCCTGACACTGTTGCTATATACGAAAACAAATGCTCATTAATGCCGGCGAATCACCACCGTTCAGGTTCAGGAGGAGACCCCCCACGCTTGGGTCTGTCTATTATGTAATAAATATCCCATCTCTGCCCAGTCAACCGACGGTGAATTCGATAACGCTGCTCCGGCCAGGATTCAGGGGGGACTCCATGCCAGGTTTAACCTTCTTCTGATGCTTTCAGTTTCCGAATCAAATCTCTGCATTTCCTGTTTTCTTTAGCTGTTCTTTTATCTTGTGATAACTACCGCCTCAGACCACACGGGTTGAGATAGTCAAAAGCGCCATTTTTCGTGGGAAATTGACAGTGAATTATTATTTTTATCTGATTTTCGGCAATTGACAACCCCTGACTCGCACGGGGAGAGAGCGATGGAGTACGATGTCAGTGGAGAGTAGCATTGTTGTCATGAATGATTAGATTGTGACGTAAAGAGATGCAAAACGGTTTGGATATATTTCCTTCATCTAAGAAAAAGAGAAATGTTCTAATATAATCCGATCGGATGTAGCCTTAGCATCCGAAAACCCGTACGATGTATTGTGAACGAAGTTTAGACAGAGCACGATCAAAACAACAAATAATTTGGGGCCAAAAGAAAGAACAGATTATGTTATGCTATAACCACGTTATCATCGCTCCATTTGATCGCACAGAACCTGCAAATGACCCTAGAACACACGAGGGAAGAAGAAATACCAATGAAACCAAAAAGATCGGACCCTGATCTTTTGAGAGCCAAAAGATGATGCCACCATCACCCGAACCGAAACCGAATCGTCGAAAAACACGCGAGTGTTGACCGTATTCAGTTCGTGTGACCGCACACGCTACCGCACACGAAAAAGCTACAGATTTTTCAGTTGTCCCACAAAAAGGAACCATGTCATGAGCAGAGAAGGACCAGAAGTTTCTCCTCTTCCGCACTGTCTGGTGTCTGCACCATAAACAAATACAGTTGCCGCCTCTTCTCCGAGAGTGAAATCAGGAATGAACATGTCACATCACACCCCAAAGCCAAAGCCAGATGGAATGAAAGCAGCTTTATTGTGATTCAGCCAAGATTCTCCACCAACTTTATTACTCCCACACTCAAAATAAAGCTCCACTATCAGTTCATTGCCCTACAAGGCCCTTTAAAAAGCTAATCAGAAAAGCCAATCTTGCATAAATCTGGACAAACCCATTTGCCAAAATCATCTTCTTTCGGTATCATTTTTCACTCTGGTATGTCTTTCACTTTTCCTAGCGTAGCAGCTATGAGAAATCCTAAGAAGACGACGCTGCTTCCTCTGTTTCCCTCAATTCTGCTCCTGTGTCTCGCTCTTTCACGTCTCTCCCTGGCGCAACAAGGACAACCCATCAAGACGATCGTGGTACTGGTGCTGGAGAACAGGTCCTTCGATCACATGCTCGGATGGATGAAAAGAACCATCAATCCTAATATCAATGGCGTCACCGGGCACGAGTGCAATCCGGTCTCGACCAACAAAACTGACCCGGAAAGGATCTGCTTCACGGACGACGCCGAGTTCGTCGATCCCGATCCGGGCCACTCGTTCGAAGCCGTGCAGCAACAGGTGTTTGGGTCCGGCACAATTCCCACCATGACAGGCTTTGTGGAGCAAGCCCTGACCATGTCGCAGAACCTCTCGGAAACTGTGATGAAGGGGTTCAGGCCTGAGTCTGTGCCTGTTTATGCCTCTCTGGTGAGCGAATTTGCGGTGTTCGATCGGTGGTTCTCGTCGATTCCTGGCCCAACCCAGCCCAACAGGCTCTTTGTCTACTCCGCCACTTCTCATGGCTCCACCAGCAATGTGAAGAAACTACTTGCCAAAGGGTTTCCTCAAAAGACCATCTTTGATTCTCTCCACGAGAATGGCATGAACTTTGGGATTTATTACCAAAATATACCCAACACGCTGTTCTATAGGAACTTAAGGAAATTGAAGTATATCTTCAAGTTTCATCAGTATGATCTGAAGTTCAAGAAAGATGCTAGAAATGGGAAGTTGCCTAGCCTGACCGTCATCGAGCCTCGGTACTTCGATCTCAAGGGTATGCCGGCTAATGATGATCACCCTTCTCATGATGTGGCCAATGGCCAAAAGCTTATCAAGAAAGTCTACGAGACACTAAGAGGAAGCCCTCAGTGGAATGAGACACTCTTGATCATCACCTATGATGAGCATGGTGGATTCTATGACCATGTCAAGACTCCATATATCAATGTGCCTAATCCGGATGGGAACACCGGCCCCGCTCCATATTTCTTCAAGTTCGACCGCCTCGGAGTACGGGTGCCCACGGTCATGGTGTCTCCTTGGATCAAAAAAGGAACGGGTAAGTGCACTACATTAGCCTTTTTGTGGTGCTGTTGAAGCTCCAACTATTTGACACAAGGAATATTTTTTCAAACATAATCATTTTATTGCCTGCTTATTCAATTAGTTAATGAGTTTTTGCCAATTAGCCACGACTGCAGGGATCACATATTCTTTGATCGAGTGAAATATTCTATGGCATTGTTGAATTAGTCATCCTTAGAATGGAGTTTAATGATAATTATTTTGAGAAGGGTGTTACCGATTTGAGGCTAACTTTGATAATATGCTTTTGACAGTAAAAAGATACTCTATAGTTGGGTGCTGATGCTTGCGGTTTGGTTGCTATTTGGTAACAAATGGCTCTGATATTTTGAGGAACTATATGTGCCTCAGGCACGTATTGATCTTTTCCTATTTGGATTGGTAATAATGCAGTGATAAGTGGTCCAAAGGGACCGGCTCCAAATTCAGAGTTCGAGCATTCTTCAATTCCTGCAACGATAAAGAAAATTTTCAACCTCACCTCCAACTTCTTGACTCACAGAGATGCATGGGCTGGCACATTTGAAGAGGTTGTAGGAGAATTGACCTCCCCCAGAACTGACTGCCCAGGTAATGGAGAATTAAGTGATCACTGATTACAATTAGCAAGTATTTAACATGCTGCTCAATTATTATATGTCGGTTCTGATGTCATCTGGTATTTCTGGACTTCTGTGCAGAGACATTGCCTGATGTGACGCCTTTGAGGAGTTCGGAAGCAAAGGAAAACGGCAGGCTATCTGAGTTTCAGAGTGAAGTTGTGCAGTTGGCGGCTGTTCTTAATGGGGACCACTTCTTGAGCAGCTTCCCAGATGAGATAGGCAAGAAGATGAGCGTAAAGGAGGCCAGTGGGTATGTGAATGGCGCCATTTCTCGGTTCATCAGAGCAAGCAAAGAGGCCATCAAGTTGGGTGCGGATGAGTCAGCCATTGTTGATATGCGTTCATCACTCACTACAAGGTCCTCTATCCACAATTAGATAGAACTCTCGGGGATGTTGAAATATTCGATAGAACAGTCTATATAAGAAAATTAGGTATATCTATGCTTGGGGAATCTGTATATCAGAATGGTTTGGAAAGAAAGATTAAATAGGTTCGTTTTTCTAAAATGGTTTTCCATGCTAGATGATTATCTACTTTAACTTGCCATGGAATATAGGACGGCAACAACTGCTTCTCTGAAGTTGTTCTCTAAGTGGGAATGATGTGAAATGGTAGACTAATGCTTCATGTCTTCATATCCACCTTCGGAAGTTCATCCAGAATTGGAGAATCGGTTGAGCACTTGCGAGATTTCATGAAAAATTGCAGAACCCTTTGAGGATGCAATCTGGATTGCTCTATGATCTCCCATCTGCAACTTAAATCATTTTCTAAGAGCACTTTTTCAAAATTGTTACTCACCGCATTTAGCAAGGTCAGGTGAACCAGGTCTGAGTTGCGGCATTGGTTGCGCGGCTTTGCTTCACACTGGTGAAAAATTGCCTAGCGCTTGGTTGTAGCAACTGAGGACACTCGGTGATGAGACGATGAAAGCCAATGTTAATTTGGTCATCTGTCAACACCTTGAATGGATTTCTCAGGTAGCCAAAGACAAAGCAGGTTACGCATCCATGTGAAAGAGGAAACAAAAACCTCTGAAACTTGCACAGGCTTCTACTGTGTATTTATGTATGACCTCAGTGCTTTTGTTTTGCTCGACCAAGTCAAAGGGGTTGGCAAACAGACCTTCACCATGCAAAATACCATCTCTCAGTGTTAATGTATGTTGCCGCCAAGCTGCGAGAATTATCTTCCGGAGAAAGGTTATCTTTCGACGAGTGCAATTGCACACCGGACTCGTCCCGAAACTTTCGAGAAATTCGCAGTATGGTCCTCTGTTATGGGATAAAGCAGCGATAAAAAACCGAAGCTTTGGACTTAGCTTCATCATCATTTCTTTCCATTTGCTTTGGGTTTTGGTGTTTGAAGTTGAACAATCGACCACACTATTGAAATATTAGTCAATGTTCTTCAGCAATGAAAGCCTTGGAAGCGGGATTCGAACCTTCGAAGTCGCCCAACAGATTCCAGAGTCTGAAAATTACCGGTTTTTCCTGCTTACTCTCAAAATTATCAATTTCCGCTTTGCATAGGTGTGAAGGTAGAGATTGTAATATTGAAATCATCAAATTTTATGAACAGACATGATATGGTATAGACATTTCTATCAATGTCAGCTTCTGTACCATCAATGCTCTGTCGACTCTCCACATAACAGAACCGTGACACTGAAATTAGTGATTTGTATGTAGTGTTGAATGGTATGTAAATAAACGTTAGAGCTAGTTGTATAAGATCTGTATTGAAGTGTAGGTAAAAAAAAATGTCGGTTTTGCATTGTAATTGAAAAAATACGGAGAATTTATTAAATAATTCCAATTCATTCTTTTGTTAAAATGATCGAATTCGATCCAAAGTAGATTTATCAAAATGGGTCATAAAATCCATATTTGATGAGCCGAGTTATTATATGAGTTAGTTATATTCAGTAAATTATTTATAAATGGGTTTAGAATGGCAAAACCCCGAAAAATATGTTTGTTAAATGAGTTTACGGTTTAGCCAAACCCAAACTACCTTTGTGATTTCCTTTTCACTCACTACGAGAAAAGAATGGACTACTCGGGACTGTTCCAAGTTTAGAAAAGTTTTAGTAGGCCTGCAATATGGGCCCGACTTTACTTATTGAAAATATCAAGACAGCTTTTTTTTTTTCCCATTGTTTTTTATTTTTATTAATCTTATAAATTTCGTATGTTAATTATTGGAGTATATCTTTCCTTTGTTGCCTTTGGTATTGTTATCTTTATGTAATATTATAATATTAGTCCTTGTCATTGCAATTCATGGTCAGCATAAATTATCTTCTTCAATATCTTACATTTCAATTAATTAAACTTTCAATTCCTCCACGTTATTAGTTGCTGTAATTTTATAAATTCACTACTAATTACTAACTTTATCTTATTATTCATTGTGGATTAATACAAAAATTGAAAGTCTACACAATGTTGAAAGCCAATGCTTTAGCATCTTATTGTCGAAATAATGATTATATCCAAATCACATATACACAAGAAGAGCTTAAATTAAGCTAACTAGGTGGATATGGATTTTCATAGGTTGGATTAACTATTGAAGCATTTTAGTAAATAGATCAGGTTGGGTACGAGTTGGGTCGGATCCGGTATGGATCACTAAATTTATATTGCATATAAATACATTAATTTGGGTCGAACCATTTTCGACCCGACCTAAATTTTACTCGACCTACCTTTTAGATGACCTGCCAAAATGTGAAACAGCTCTAAAATGATGATTTAGAAAATCATGCAAACGAAACTCATAACCATTTTGTTTTGTTTTGTTCTTTTTTTTTTTCAAACTACTTGTTAAAAATATTCAAAGAAAAAGAAATGGAGAACAGGGGAAAATTAAGCGTGTGTTTATTTTACGGAAAACATACCATTTCTGAAAAATTATCAAAAGAAATTCATATTTTTTAATTTTTTTTTTCTTTTTTCTTCTTCCTTGGCGACCGACCACAAGTGAGCTCCAGCCTTGCCTAAGGCTAGTGAGCTCCAGCCTCGTCACTAGAGGCCGCAAGCTCGCTTGATCTAGCAAGGCTTGAGTTCGCCGTTCTTGGGAGAGCTCGAGCCTCATTGTGATCTCGCCTGCAGTTACCGTGACCAGCTGAAGAAAAAGAGAAAAGAAAACGAAAGAAAAAAAAGAAGAAAAGAAATAAAAAAATAAAAACAGATAAGAAAATAAGAAATTAAAAATAATAATATTCGATTTTTTAAAAATTAAAAATTTGATTTCTTTAAATTAGTATTTTTTTTATAAGAACAAACGTTTCATTAACCAATGACCCGAACCTAAACGACGAGAACCCAGGCACGACCTTTGTGGACTGGGTCTGAGAGTCGAGAGCACTACCCTTATATATCCGAGTTCGGGTGTTGGAGCAATGGGTACGGGCACCAGGGGTTCGGGCCCGGTCGTCGGAGACCCGGTCTTTAATGCCGGTGCTCGGGACCTAACGTTGGAATTTCTGTGCTCAAATGTAGGATTTCGGATTTAAGACCCGATACTTAGTCATACTTTGAAAAACGTTTTTCGATTCTTTTAAAGAGAAAATCATTTTTCTGAGTTTAAGGTTGGTAGGAAAATATTTTTCATTGACTTATTTTCCTAATCGAACCAAATGATAGAAATTTTTTTTTCAGAAAATGCTTTTCGCGAAGCAAACCGAGCTTAAATAAATTATAAAAGAACAAAGTGGGCCCCAGGTCCCAGTAGGAGAATCAGCCACCACCGCAGGATTCGTTCCTTATCCTCCATCTCTCCCCCTCCGTCTTCACGATCAAAATAAAATCTCTCAAAAAAATAATTTTTCTTTTCCAGAAAAAAAAAAAAAACAAAAAACCTCCCGATCTCCCGACCTCCACCACCGCCACCATCGATGGACGACGCCCAGCAGCAACCCCAGCCCAACCCCTACCCGGCCCATCCTCCGCCGCAATCGGCCGCCGGAGCCGCGGCCGTGGCGCCGTTCCACCAGCTGCTGCGGCAGCAGCAGCAGCAGCTGCAGGTGTTCTGGTCGTACCAGAGGCAAGAGATCGAGCAAGCGAACGACTTCAAGAACCACCAGCTCCCTCTGGCCCGGATCAAGAAGATAATGAAGGCCGACGAGGACGTGCGCATGATCTCCGCCGAGGCCCCCATCCTCTTCGCCAAGGCCTGCGAGCTCTTCATCCTCGAGCTCACCATCCGCTCCTGGCTCCACGCCGAGGAGAACAAGCGCCGCACCCTCCAGAAGAACGACATCGCCGCCGCCATCACCCGCACCGACATCTTCGACTTCCTCGTCGACATCGTCCCCCGCGACGAGCTCAAGGACGAGGCCGCCGGCCTCGGCGCCGCCATGGTTGGGTCGCCGGCGAGCGGGGTCCCCTACTACTACCCTCCGATGGGGCAGCCCGCCGCGCCGGGGATGATGATCGGGCGCCCCGCCCTCGACCCCGCCGGAGGAGTCTACGTGCAGCCTCCTCCGCCGTCGCAGGCGTGGCAGAGCGTGTGGCAGACTGCCGCGCCCGACGACGGCGCATACGGCAAGCCGGGGGATCTCGATGGCCAAGGGTATGTATCAAATGATCGCTATCTTGTGGCTTCAATTCTCTTTTTGCATGACTTTTCGGGCTTTCTTTTCCGTCTCGTTCTTTTTCATCTGCTGGGTGAATGGTTTGAGGTGCTTGTGAATTGTTCTTGTCGCGGTATGATGATTGTGTGGATTGGATCATAAGCTTCCCCAAGTTTGGATTTTGCTACCTAGGATTTGATAGCGATGTGCTTGGTTGGGAAAAAAAAAAGGTTGTACCTTTTCAATTCAAGCAATAGCGTTTCGGGTTTATCCTGTAAAATTGCAACCAACATTTGGACAAGTACTGGTTTTTTTTTACTGTGTAGTTTCTTTTGGGCGCTTGAATTTTTTAGCTGAAAAGATGCTCAGCCATTCCCTGATATAGCAGCTTGAGCTGCTTTATTTTCTTGTAGAACTCGAGCTCAAGCTTGACTACGCCGGAATTGAGCCAGTAGGAAAAATTCGAATCAATCTTCAGTACTAACCATCTATTAAACAGAAGATTTTGAACATACACTAGCCAAAAGTACATTTATTGCAAAGATTACGTTTCAAAAGGCAAGCGACAGGAAATTCATGAAGAAAAATGACAATGTGAAGATTACATTTCAAAAGGCCAGTATGATGCAATCCAATGTCTTGCTGGATAGACACGGGACTTGTTGCCATAAGCCAGCGAGTAGAGAGTTACTACGATATTTAGGCTTTTGGTTCCATGCGTTAGGTGATACTAGATTCTGGCCGGTAGGTGACCTGAATGTTAGGAAATTGGAGGGATGCAGGAGAGTCACTACGTCACCTTTTTATAGAATATGACAAATGGCATTGCTTGCTCCCATGCAAAGCACTTCTTCAAGAGAGGTACATGGCTTTCTACCAAACAATGTTTTACTGTAAAGATTTGGAAAATTATTAGTTGTTCTTCTGATCCTATAACTGTCTGTGTTTTGTGAGGACCAAAGTGATAAAAAATAGAGATTTTTGACTGGCCACTTAACTGCGGAGAGATTAATGTCAGACACGATAAGAAAACTCTATATTGACTTAGTTCACCAATAATGTAGGGATGGTCATTATGTTATCACCATGCTTGTGAATCAGCTTTGCTTCTTTGGTAAATGTTGTCACTCACTGGCAATAAAGATCAGTTGGCGAGTATGTCTATATATTATGCCCAACTCTTGGTTGAATATTCTTCTTCATCTTCCAATGTTTTTTCTTCTCCATGCCCATCCTTGCCCATCTTTGATGTAGAAAATTATTCTCACATGAATTTTTCTTCTTAGATATGTGTACCATGAAGGGAAAGCAAACCACCAAATGTGAGGGAACGAAGGGGGGGGGGGGGGGGTGTGGAGGTCTGAGAGCTTTGATGCAGCTGAGAACCTAGGAATGAACTGTTCTGGATTAATCGACTGATATTATGGCAGCCATCTATAACTCTTCATAGTTTAATACGGTAAATGAATAGTCAAAACCATTGGACAGAAGATGCTTGCCATATGTTTGAAATGTTTTGAGCCAAATACAAGAAAGTCAGTACTTTGATTATTCTGTCAGCTGGTTGGGGTTGGGTGTTACTGGATCATTCCAACCTGTAGGGCATCCAAACTAACTCCAACTCCATAGTCATCAATAGTGGCCAATGGCTTGAGCTTATTAGCTTGTATAGTTGCTTAAAGAAAGCCCCTCTAGGAGATATAGGATATATGGCAGACTGTATACTACCAATGCACAACTATGATTTTAATTGACTAAAATTCTGGTGAGAAGTGACTGCCATTATTTGAACAATGTGAGAATATCGATCTCCTCGACACCTGTTAAGTGAGAGAGATCTTTCCTTTTCCCCCTTTCAGGTTAGTTGATTGAATCTGTATTGATATGCTCTAGGACAGATATCTTTAATAGTATACTTAGGTAGAATGATTGTTCACTTGTTTCTGTTTGCTGAGTGAATTTGTCTAAGGCTTAAGAATTCTCAATGATAAAAAATGCCACTTCCTTTTTCCCCCGATATACTTTATTCTGTCGAATGAAACTTCATGGCGAATCTTCTTTGTGAATGTAAGTTGGTCATCTAGATGATTCTGCAATTTTAACGTTTGTCAGGGTAGTGAGAGTTTATTTGCCAGTTCAAACATTGCATTAACCTTAAATAGTGAAAGGGAGATGATTGCTCCTTTAAGTGGATTGTAAAGCCTGAGTATAAGCTCTAGCATATGGCTGCTGACTTCTTTGCCCTTTTATGGACTGTGAAGTTAACTGTGGGACTCGGGTATCCTCTAGTGCCTCGTGGGTGTTAAGAATTTTTGCTTATCTCAGTAAAAGGTGTTGGTAGTGGTACCAAATCAAGAGTTCTTCTCAGAAGTCATTACTATGTGCTTTTTTTTATTTATGATTTGAGTTTGTATAGTGGAAGGTTTTTTTTCTTTTTGGTTTTAAGTGTAGTGGGAGGTTGTTCATATGATATTTTGGCTTCGTGTTGGCACTTGAATCTTATGCTGGCTCTGACTGCCTACTCGTCTTTGTATGGATCCTCGATAAATGTTTGAGAAGATAATGCTCGGAAAAGTATTACCCTCGTCAGTTGTTCTGTTGCATGGTCATTAATAGGAATCTGCTCAAGTTTTTTAACAGCTTGACCATATTGTTTTGGAGGTTTGGGGTGTGCTGTTTAAGGATGCCTTACGTTGGGTTTTCTTAAGATTTGCAGTTGTTTATTTTATAAATGCTTTTGTTATGCGATTGTTGATTGATCTTTTTTCATTGATTTTAAACTTGCAAGGTATTGACTGTGAATCTTCTTTGGTGATGCACAGTTGAATCGAGCAGACTGATATTAAGAACTTAACATTAAAATTTTATCTGATGCGGCGAAGGGTTAATGAGCTTTGCTGATGTTGACTGGACTTTTTATCCCCCCATGCAACTGTTAATTATATTTTGTGTGGGCAGCGTTTGTTAGAAAATGTATTGACTTTCACCAAAAACTTGTGAGGACTCCGATAACTTTATTGAGTGCAGCAACAGAATTGCTTGTATGACTCAGATAACTTCATGAGAAGTTGACTTATGATTATGAATGGAAGTGGAAGGTACATTTCTTTCTCCCTTCTAATCTTCAATTCGGCTTCTTTTCTGGCTTCTTCTTTTTAGTTCAAGCCATTTTGCTGCTTGTAATTTCAGTCCAACATTTGTTCGCAACCATGGCCGTGGTCTCTTGTGTGACTTAGCTCATTGAAGCAATTGTTGTTTTAAGGAGACAGCATATGCACTCACTAGTCACTACCAGCTATTCTTACAGTTTCTTTTATTCTTTTTTTTTTTTTGGGGCGGATCGAGAATTTATTTTTTTGGTCAAGGACGGATCAAGAATTAATTTCGCACCTCGATGAAGTCTCTAAGGTGAGGATCAAATGGCTTTGCGTCAGGTTTTGGCGTTGGAAGGGTAGTTTAGATAGCTCTTCCTATTCCCACAATGAATAATCATATTAGATTAAGTGCAAGTGATAATAGCACAAATGGTTCATGAACTTTGACTTAATGCATAAATTTTGGATCTCTAAAATTTTAATTTATTTTATGTGGCTTTTATATTTAAGCCCAATGTGTAATGTTGTTCCTTAAATTTTAATTTGTTCGATATGGTTTTTGGATTTTTCTTTTCTAAACGGGCCATAAAAACTTTATTTTTCGGTACATTATGTTTACACCTATGTCAAAAGCATATTTTCATTTGGGGGTTGTTAACGTTAGTCTTATACTCCACCGATTTGGGGTGATTTTATGTGACTCTCTTCGGATCCAAAAGAATCTAGCTACACAATTTACTACAAAATGATAAGATTTTGAGAGAAAATCATTTATAAAATCAAACAATTAGCAGCATATGATCATCAGAACATGATCCAAAGTAAGTTAGACTTCCGCGTCTTTACAGCGAGGGTGGAAAAATGATTATTTGCCGACTAACATTGTAGATACGGGGATACGATATGCATCTCTTCATAGACTGTCTCAAGAGTTGAGGCCGACTAGTGATGTAGCAATGATGTAGCAATTAAAATCTAAAGATTGGAAAAGAAAATATGACTAAGATCGGCAAGGGAAGAATTAGAGAAAAGAGATGTCAAAATTGAATAGATGGAGAATTTTCACTTGAACTTCAAGGACATCCATGTGAGTAGATATTGAAACGTCCACGTGGCTAGATCTCTGAATGACCAAAGAACAACGCTTATGTGACAGAACCGTCATTCTCCCTAGAAGAACGATTCTCTTTCCACCTCGAGTTTTGTGTTGGCAACTTGAGGAAAGATTTGCCCGGTTCAAGTTTCCTTTTTTCAAGTTTGAACTGACCATGCAAGTACGGGAAAAGAAGAGATAGATGCACTATCATTTTATGAACAAACTCGTGGAAACAATAACATTAAGTCTCTCTGATGGGAGTTCCAGCAAATGGCTTATGAACTTACTCAAATTCATATCTGGGCCCGGCATTCGGGGGGAGGCCGAGGATATCTAGTCTTATCCGTACAATAGTCGTATTTCAAGTAGTTGCATGTCACATTTCGGTATCGTTTTATTTGATCTGCGTTTAGGGTCTGATTTTGCGCCCATGCATCTCCGTGAGTGTAGTCGCATTTCCCTGAATTCGAAGGGTTGGACGCGACGCACCCATCAATGTCAAAGCCTTGGTATTGGGCTTTGAACGGGCCCTTGGACCAATCGATCTTCCCGGCCCACCCCTCGGCAGGCCATATCGTCGCTTCCACTAGCATCCCTTGTGTCGGGTAGTTCGCTTTGTTCCCCAGGTTCTTGAACACTCTGAGCGGTATGTCGTCCACAAAAAACCTACCATAATAACAAATATCAAAATGGATTTGCGACGCCGTGTTTCGACAAAGAATCACATATCGGGAGCTTAAGATCTTTAGTTCGTACTCGGACGACATAATGATAACACATCCGTAGCATCGCATTTTCCTTGTTTTCGGCTTATGTCCTCATCTAATTATATCTTCATCAACTTATGTTTAGCCATTACCAAATAGATGGTTTCTCATTTCAAACAGACAAGTAGAGAAAGAGAGAGACTTACACTACTTGATATTGGTTCCAAAGAATCGTATAGGAATGGAAATCGGTAGACGGATCAAACCAAAGATGAAATTTTTTCTCCCGGCCCCCAACTCCTTTTGTGAATACGTTGGTACTCAATTTATAAGGTGGTCCGTTGGAACCAATGAACTCAAAGCCAATCTCATCGTGTTGGGCTTCCGTTGAAGTTAGCTATGAGCCAAATTTCAAAAGCGTCACGCATCGAAATCCCCGAAAGAAAAGATGATGGTAATAATAAACAAGTGTAGCTCGACTCTTATGGGCATGTTGTGGCAAGATAATGTGCATAGTAGATGTATTCAAGAAGGCTCAGATGAAAAGAAAAAGCTCACTCACATAGAAGGAGGTAACAACTCCTGGTGATTTACTATGTGGAATTTTGATCCTCATGTTGAATAATCCAGATAGAAGACGTGATTTAGATTGAAAGCCAGCCCCTGAAAATTTGAGTTTGAATGATAAATACAACTTAAAGACATTGCCGTAAAAAAGAAAAAAAAAGGGAAAGTAGATAAGTAACATCTACCGTAAAATGATGAGACATAACTAAAATGAAACAAATCACGAAATATCTTGATCACCTGAACTTTGATTCAATGTAAGTTCGACTTGAGTGTCGCCGTTGAGGCTGGAAAAATGATCGTTTCCCCAAATGATATTGTAGTTCTGAGAGAAGGTAACTTGTCGTCTTCCACATGCAAATAACATATTCACCATCACAAAGCCGAGGAAGCCCGAAAGCAGATAAGATTCCATGGATCCTCTTTCAAACTCTTGAGTTTTACTAAGTCCTGTGTTAATTTTCACCAACTCATCAATCCGACACTTTATATAGAAATATATTCAAAGCCTCGCCGCTTGCGGTGTGTAGAAGTACAAACGTCACATACGAGAACGTGGAATGCAACTAAGAAGCATTATGAAGATGATATACTTTATGTTGCTTTGAACAAATGCCTTGTGAATGGCGTTATTCTCCAGGGGACCGTAGAATCTTGCATTTCAGTTTACTCTCCCGTGGCATGTAAACCTACTTTGCATTCATTTGGTCAATTCTACTTGCCATAAACTCAACACAATTTGCACGAATCAATCATAACCACGAAAGAGCAGCAGGAAACTGCTTTTTTGCAATAGTCACGAGATCTAAGGAAAACGTCATGCAAATAGTCTTGCTAATCGAAATGACAAGAAGAAACTTAGTTGGAAACGGAGCCAATACAGACGAATAAACTCACAGTGATAAAATAAACCCTCAAATGAAGGATATCGCAAGATTTGAGGTAACTACAATCGTTTTACACGTGATTTACTCGCAATATATAGGCGACCCAAGATGAGTAATTGATTAAGTCCATTCTCACTCTTTGAAGAAAGATTGCATCTTTCCCAGAATACTATGAAATCCACAATAAAAGAGTTCTACGTTGGCATATCTCATCTAGCTATTGGACTGCGTTTTCTTTCCTAAGAAAAGAGGGCAAAATTCTACTGTTACGTCATTACTTTCCTAACAAAACTTGATCCGATTTGATCTCTCCGTGGTATATTTAATGCTAGAGTGTCATTTACATCACATGATTCAAATACCCATTTTGCTAACTTACACGAGTTTCATTTAAAAAAAATTTGTGCAATTTTGACCTATTGGAAATACTCTAATAGTTTTCTGATCTGAGAAAGCATAATATCAAGAGTGTCATTTACATTAAAGGATTGAAATACCTGATTTACTAATCAATATGCACACGAGTTTCCTTTTCTAACAATATGTCCAATTTTGACCTATGGAAAATACTCTCTCTCTCTCTCTCTCTCTCTCTCTCTCTCTCTCTCTCTCTCTCTCTCTCTCTCTTCGAATTCTTGTCTGGTATTAGGGATCTGTGAGATAACGCCTTATCCTAGTAATGAGGCCAAAAGACCTTATGCTCATAATAAGAACTAAGAGTCAGTCCCGACAAGCAAGAATTTAGCTGGATGCTAAAGTCGGTCCCCAATAAGAATTTATTTGGATGCTAAAAGTCGGTCCTAACAGGGTAAGACCTATAAAGGCACTGCAAGGGACTGAATACCTGCATTTGCTCACTTCTGTTCTAAGCATAGACAACTTTTTGATATTAGAGCCCCGGATTATGTGATGTAGTATCATTCTAAGATTCGTAATGCCACATAGTTTGAAGGGAAGGTATCAATAACAATGAGTGAAACCACCCCATCCGAAACAATTTCACAAGACATTTCAGACAATAACTCCATCAAACTCTTTTCGTAGATCCGAAACCTCTAAGATCGATTGACTTTACGAGGTTTCCTACCTCAATGAAGTTGAGAAGATCTCATCTACTACTCTTCCTCTTGTAAATCACTATGTTGCTTTTACGAAACACACATCCTCCTTTTCTCCCATCTGCTTTATAAGGTAGTTAATCCGTCACACTCCAAAAGAGATGAAGGAATA